ATAATTGCCAGGTCATGGAAGAAGCCCAAGTGCCCATCGATCCACGAATGGATCAACAAACTGTGGTATATGTACACCATGGAATACTATGCAGCCATCAAGAAAGATGGAGACTTTACGTCCTTTGTGTTCACATGGATGGAGCTTAAAAATGTTCTTCTTAGCAAAGTATCACAGGAATGGAAGAAAAAGTATCCAATGTACACACCCCTATTATGAAATTATATGAAAGCTATAGCCTAAATAACAGTCTAAGAATACGGGGAGGGAGGGAGGGAGAGGCGTGGGGGAATGGGTAGAGGGAGGGAGATTGGAGGGATTACTTCTGTGGTTTATCTTACAGGGGTACAAGTAAATCTTTCTAAGAGTAGAATATGAACGTTTTAACAGAATAACTAAGAAAATGACATGAAGGCTATGTTAACCAGTTTGATGGAAATGTTTCAAATTGTATGTGAAAACACCACACTGTACCCCAGAAGTGCATTAATGTACATAGTTCCCATTCAATAAAAAAAAAGACAATATGTGGGAAATAACTTTATAACATTACAATGCTATAGAAATAAAAAAAAAAGAAACTTCTCATCATGTCAGGTTTTAACAAATCTTCCTGCTGTTTCTAATAAACATTAACATTTAAGACCACTGATATACATTATATGTTGGTCCACTATATACAACAGAAAATGTTTCCCAGTTGTTTATTTTCATGACAAATACACAATACAGTTTTAAGAAAGAGGTCTCTGAAGTCAGCTTCTACTATCAGCTATTTAACTGTATTTAACCATTCTATACCTGAAGTTCTTCATTTGTATATAGAAATAACATCTATCTAAATCACAGCCTTAGGATTAAATGTGATAATACATGTATGGTGACTGACAGGAAAGTTATCCGGCCACACCGTACTATTCACAATAGTATTTCCTACTGTCAACCAAATACTACATACATAACTATTGACTAAGTGAATGAATACTGAGTAACAACTGCTACTTATCTTTCGGCCTTTGTTCTTAGAGCCCCCAAATTGTGAAGTTATTCCATATACAAAAGCAAAGTTAGCCCCCACCACAGGATGAGGAAAAAGAAACCAACCCTTCCATAAGTCAACAAAACTCCAGATCAGATATTATAAAAGTAAAAAACAAAATTGTAACGAGGTCCTTAAATGTTTTGGTCACTTGAATAAAATTTCTAACCACTTAAAATATTTTCAGTGTTTTACCTCTATTCTCAAAACCATTTAAATTCCCTTAGCTTTCAAAAGTACATTTGACCTCTTTTCAAATGTATATTATCTGTTTATTTTTAGATATTCACAGAAATAAAATTCTTCCACATGTCTACTGTACTACACAATCCACTGTAATAGTTCTACTTAAAAGGGGATCCCAAATAATTGTAGAAATAGTTGGGTGGGGAATAATGGCTCTACTCAAATACAAAACAAAGCCTCTAATTCTGACTTATGGTATACAAATGCTCTCTTCTATTTCTGGCAATGCATCTTCATGCATGGCAAAGTCTTTAATTTTTTCTTGAAATTTTGTATTTGTTGTCTTTTTTCTTCAAATTATTTCATACCTGCTCTTAAGAAAGCTGACTGAACAGCCTTCATAAAAGAGTCAGAATTAGTATCAAATTTGCAATTTTGAGTTTTTATCAAAATTATTGAATAGTTTTTTTATAAATTACATTTACATAAGTACAAAAATAATTATGTTTGCTTTGCCACTGAGTATAAAACTCATCATGCTGTGCCCAAAAGAAGTAATTCTACACCATGGATAAATTAACATTATCACACTGACTAATGGAACAGTTTCACTTAAATTATCAAGGCTAGTTCTTTAACTTGGAATATATATAAAATGATCCATTGTTGAGTTAATGGTTGTCTGTTCCATATTAGCAGCTACCAAAACAAATCAAATCAGTGGCACTTAAAATCTCTACTACAAATGTATTCTTTTTAAAAATTTTAATCCATCTAAGATAGATGTCAATTGATATTAGATTCAACGTAGAAAAAGAAATTAAATATTAAGATTGGCAGTGATGTTTCTTGTTAAATCTGACCACAGAAACTTTTCTTCCTATGTAGTATCAATGACCATTTAAAGAAAAGGTATTTTCCCACAGAAACAATTAGGAAACTGCTAATACCAGACTAGTTATAAATCAAAATACATGACTAAAAAAAAAAAAAAAAAAAAACAGGTAAGTACAAAAGTAGATTCATATTAACAGCCATTTGGCATTGATTCCAATGATATAAAATATGTCTATTTCTTCTTTCCATAGTTGTTAGATACTCTGTTCATTGTCCTAATCTAATCCAGTGGTTCTCAACTTTCCTAATGCCACAACCCTTTAATACAGTTCCTCATGTTGTGGTGACCCCCAACCATAATTTTCACTGCAATGAAAATAATTTTATGGTTGGGGGTCACCACAACATGAGGAACTGTATTAAAGGGTTGCAGCATTACAAAGGTTGAGAACCACTGATCTAATCCAATTACCATCTATCATTTCTGGTAGAGAAGCTGGTGGGGCTGTCAGAAAGGCAAGCAAGAACTAATGGCTGAAGTTGACAAGAGTCCCTAAGCTCTGCTAGGATTCGGTACTGAGAGCTGACCGAACATTTTCTCCTCTGAAGATGTCAACTTAGGAAACCACAACAGAAAAACATGAGACAAGGACATGATCATCAGTTTCCTGAGGAAAACCAGACTCTCAGACAGAGAGAAAAAGGCATGCACCCACGTGATTATTCATGGGTTTGTTAAACATAGAGGTGTTACCAAGGAAATGAACAGGCAGAACAGAATTCTACCTACCTATTAAAGGCTGGGAAAGCACTGTATCACACAAGCAATAGAAGTACAGAAAACAGTAATACGCTGAAGAGTATAAATGTCTTATCTCCTTAGTATAAACCAAAAGTAACTTAAAAAAAAAAAAGACAACAAAATGGACAAACCTACAGGGAAATTAAAAAAAAAAAAAGAGCACAATTGTACACCAACAGATCCCAAAGCAAGGACAAAAACCTAGGGATTAGTGAAGCAAGAAGATGAAAGTAAGTTGGCCCAGAGAATGGAGCAGATAGATACCATTTTCTTATACCAACAGCATTTTTGCTATAAGAGAGAAGTAAGCTTATGGTCTGTTTACGCTACTAACACTCTGCATTTAATTATAGTATAAAAGTAATTGCTGTTCATGCATTGCTGAAATTCGCCATTTAATACTGGAATACTCAATAATGCGATTGTTATACATCATTTTAATGCAAATTTCTTGATTTACTTTTTTAATGAGTTATTATTTGCTGTTTATTTTATACTTACTTTA